TCGAAGGAATAAATGTAGTTTAGATTTTCGAAGATTGACATGTAACTCTGTATTTCCTTTTGTTTTGAAACATTTTTAAGCTTTTCAAACCTCTTTAAAGATTTAAACATAGCATTTGAATTTTTATTTTTCTTTACTTACTTTGTTTAGCGAATTCCTTTCACTCTTGGAAAAAATGACAGTTTGAATATATACCTTCCTAATTCAAACAAATTTGAGTCAAAGATTAATGATCATTCCCAGCTGATAGAAGAAACGACCACAACATTGCAGCAAACAGCCAACCGAACAATGTTAAGTAAACATATTTTGAGTTGGAAGTACCCGAGCACTCTGTAAGCACAAGATAAGAGCAAACAACTTGTGTCTAGGAAATTAGGAGTTGCCACAATAAAATTCAATAGATGAGCAAACACACACGAAGAAAAAATTCTAAAGACATATTTTATGTACAGTTTAGGATATATATTTCAAGGTATAAAAGGAGTTACTATAATATCAATTTAAAAAAATCACACATTTGATGCACCAAATTTGATGCACTAAAAACGATAATATAAATTTTAAACAAGTAAAATAGCTATTAGTTCGGCTGGACCAAACTTTGAATACCCTCTACCAGTTGGAAAGAATTTGGCAATTAAAAAAAAAATCCTTTAAAAATTCTGTTAAAATTTAAAAAATACCGGATTTAGCCGTTATATTATGATCTATACGACGCCGTGGAGCTGCATATCGGGAGGTACTATGGGGCCTATTCCAAAACGTGAATCTCAAGAAAATTTTCTGTCGTAGACTATAGTACCCACTACGAATTTCAAATGCCAAATTTAAAACAATTCCGTGAAAATCATTAAAATACCAAGTATCGGGAGGTACCGTTATATGAGGGCTATACGAAGACGTGAACCTGCACAGCCAATTTTCTGTCTTAGGCTGTAGTATCCATTACGAACTTTAAATACGAAATTTAAAACAAATTTCGGAGAATAATGTCGCTTAAATCATTAAAATTACGAATATCGGAGGCACTGTTATATGGGTGCTATACGAAGACGTTGACCTGCACAGACAATTTTCTGTCTTAGGCTGTAGTATCCATTACACACTTCAAATACCATATTTGAAACAATGCCGGTGAAAATCATCAAAATACCAAATAACGGGAGGCAGCGTTATATGGGGGCTATACAAAGACGTGGACCTGTAGACACAATTTTCTGGCATAGACTGTAGTATCCATTACGAACTTCAAATACCAAATTTGAAACAATTCCGGTGAATAATGTCGCTAAATTCCTCAAAATACCGACTATCGGGAGTTACAGTTATATGGGGGCTATACCAAAAAGTGGATCTGCATGGTCCATTTTTAATACCAAAAGTCCTGCAGACATAATATACATTTGAGTAAAATTGTATCAGCCTACTTCATTTCGGTCGGAAGCTAGAGTGATTTCCACAGACGTACATACGGACGGACATCGCTAAATCGACATAGAGTTTTATGCCGATCAAGAATATATATACTTTGTGGGGTGTTACAAACGGAATACCAACTTAATATACCCTCCATGTTATGGAGGAGGGTATGAAAATACTAGTCTTCGCCAAATGCACATTTTTAGTACGACTTATCAAGAGCGCCGCCTTAATAATTACTAGCATCAATGCTAACCCACATGCAAATTTAAAGTTTCTTACCCTGAAATTTCGGAGTTTATTCTAAAACAAGTAAGCAAAGGCTATAGCCGTGCGAGGCCGACTATGTGATACCCTACAACACTTCGATATGTTCGAAGTCCCCTTATCTCTAAATCCATTTTGGAAGATTTTGTTTTTGAAATAAGATCAAAGAGGCCTGCCCAGATTTTACCCTAAGGTTTTTGACCCGAGGAATTTGGCCAATAATTACGCACTCCGTCGTGTTGTTTGGTATTCAAAAAAAAAATATAATCCAGCTAAATATAATCCAATGGTCTCTCTCGATTGTCCATCTTAAGAACAAATGTAAAAATTTGCAATTCAAAAATGTAAGTCAAATTGAAAAAATCGCATGCGATAAAAAATATGACAAAAATAGAAAAAATGGTTATAAAGCAAAATACACATTTAGCTATATAATCGACTTCTTGGCAATCAGCATCACTGCAGTGGTCAAAAGTGATCTTTAAATGTATTTGTGATATGTGGCTGGAATTAAAAACATTCGCGGATTAGTGACAATTTTCCTATTATCTTACATAAAAGTTAGGGTCTATTTCACCCGCTAAATATTGTCCAATGACCATCAAAATTGGTAGGCTTCTGCCCAGTCCTAAACTCTAGCTCCATGTACATTTTCGCGTAGATTGGTTCATAATTGTGGCCTATAGAGAAAATGCAATATCAGAAAATTTTTCTATTTTTGGTCCATATAAATAAAATAAATATTTTGCAATCATCCCCAAATTCTGACCCTAACCCCACCTCCATCTTCAATTTCGTGAGGATTGGACAATAATTGCGACCTGTAGCTTGATTACAAATTAACATGGTCAGACAGACATACATATCTAGATCGACTCAGCTCGGCGATATACAGTTGCCCATATTCGACGGACCCATCTAGCAACGCCATAACTTTTGACAGAGATGTCAGTCACATCGCTTAATGACATACCGCGTTTGAAGCGTCAGTCCAAGCAGATTTTTACCATGAACCAATACACGCCACGCGAAATAGTTGAAATTTACATTCAACAGAAGAAGTCAATTGTGAAAACTCAACGTGCTTTTAAAACATTAAAAAATGTGAGAAGTGCGCCTTCTAAGAACACCATTAAGCGTTTATACGAAAAATTTTCGACTGGTAAGGCTCTTTCTAATCCGAAGAGGCCATATAAAATTCGACCAAGGCGATCGGCCGAGAATATCGCTGCCGTACGAGCCAGTGTTGAGAGGTCCCCAAGAACATCCCAAAAAACGCCGTTCTCAGCAGTTGCGCATGGCTCGGTCCACTTTACAACGGATTATTTGCATTGATTTGCATTTGTTCCCGTACAAAATTCAATTGACGCAAAGAATGTTGCCTGCGGACAAGCCTCCTCGATTGGAATGGGCCCAAAGAGTCATCGAAATGGCCGAAGATGACGAGCAATTTTGGAACAAAATTATCATGTCCGATGAAGCCCATTTCACATTGAATGGGACCGTAAATAAACAAAATTGCCGTTTTTACGCTACTGAAAATCCTCAGGAGATTCAAGGAGTGCCTCTTTATGGCGAAAAAGTCACAGTTTGGTGCGGCGTTAGTGCGAAAACGGTCATTGAGCCGTTTTTCTTCCAAAATGAAAATGGCCATACTGTTACCATCAATCAGGAGCGTTATCGCGACATGATAACCAATTTTGTGATGCCAATTATTCGTCGAAAGCGTATGAGGCAGTTCTGGTTTCAACAAGACGGCGCTCCACCGCACACAAGTCGCATAACAATCGATTTTCTGAAGAATTTGTTTCCGGGCCGTTTAATGTCGAAAATTGGTGATTTGGACTGGCCACCGCGTTCGCCCGATTTGACGCCGCTTGACTTCTTCTTGTGGGGATATTTGAAGTCAAAGGTTTACGTTAACAAGCCAAGGACCGTAGAAGAGCTCAAGGACAACATTCGTAAAGAAATAGCCGCTATTCCGGCCGAAATGTTGGCAAAAACGATGGAAAATGCAGCAAAAAGGGCACAATACGTCATCAACGCCAGAGGCGGCCATTTGAGAGATATCATATTCAAAAATTGATGTAAACAAATCTACTAGGAACAAATTAAATGATTAACATTGCCAACCGCCAAATTTTTATTATTTTCTTTGATTTTTTTTTTTAAATACATGGGTCCGTCGAATATGGGCAACCCTGTAGGAAGATCCATACAGATCCTATGTGGGAAACCAATATTTCGAGGTGTTACACAATTTTTGGCTCAATCAAACTTACAATTCCATGGTGTTGTAGGGTACAAACACAGTTTATTGCATATTTTAGTACCTTTTCCTTAATTATAACCTTATCGCAAATATGGCCCACCAACGACTACCTACATGCTAGGGTCCTGTTGATATCGTTTGTTCTAGACGTTTTCTAATGATTGTTTAAAAGAGAGAGGTAGGATATTTCACGACTCTCTATGAACGAATACAAATGAACATTGCCTCGAGTAAAACACCCCCATTAATTTTTGCTGTGAAATTATTTCAAAACAAATTCATATATAGTTATTTCCAAGATGAGCTGGAAATGCAAAATGAACAACTAGGGCTAAACTAAATTTAATAACTTAAATAAACTTAAGTTTCTCTGAAAAAATGTGATATGGCAACTTTAACATTATGTTGCACGATCAAGTCAATGCCTAAGAAACTACTTGCAACAACAGAAGTAGCAAACTAACAGAGGTAACCGCATACAACTTCTAGCTGTTTGAGTTGCTTACACTGAGCCACTGAACAGAAGCAAAAGAAATTCATTGGTTTGAGACTGAAGACAACCACGATTTGAGCGCCAAACACGATGAAAGTGTTGTTGAAGTTGTTGTCGGGCGAAGAAATCATGAGAAACATGAATGAGAGATCAAAACAAAAAAGAAAATTTCTTTTTCAACTCCCAAAGTTATGAACGGTATGGCTGTTGGCCATAACTATCGTCGTATATAAACTATAGACAACGAAGGCATTCGGCATTAGTTTTATATCAGAATCTAAAGTGAACACATCAAAGAAAAATAGGAGGAAGAAGTGCATTTGTAAACTCCGGAAAAAATATATAAATATATTGGAAAAAAAAAAGTGGTTGGGTGCAACAATTGCAACCACTTAAAGGATCAAGCAACCGCATAAAGGATTAACAACTACAAAAAAAAAAAAAATAAAAATAAAACAATTAAACCAAAAACAAAGTGGAAACATACCAAAAACACAAAACTGTGTCCAAAGTGTTGAAAAATAAACAATTTTGAAAAAAAAAAAAAAACTAAAAAAACTAACGAATACCAAAAAAGAAAAAAAATCATGATCAACAAAAAGACAATGAGTTGTTGTAAATCACCATCAATGTTATTGTTGTATTTATCCCTTTTGTCTTGTTGCCTACATGGCATTAGTGCCAGCACCGAAAATATTTCATCATCGCCCTCGACATTTCAAAATGCCGGAACACGTACCATTCTGAGGATCTATGATGAGTGCAGCAGAACCGATGGTGGATTTGTGCCATGTCTTAAGAAAAAGGCTATATCCTTTATTGATCGCATCTCATTTATTGATTCAATAACTATTGCCGATGGTGTTAAAGTTGTGAAAATGCCAGCTTCTGCTGGCGCAGTACCCTATATTCGGCCGATGACTAGTGAAAATGAATTGGAATCAACTCTGTCTAGGTCTGGTGAAGATCGGGACACAAAACTGACCAATATTCTGATCGAACGTTTAAGTAATTTCTTCAATGCCCATACATTGCAAGTTAGTTTTCCCAAGTTGTCATCTGAAGAATTGGGCCGCGGATTGGAAGAAGGTGAGTTTAGTAAGATGAGAAATAATTATCAAGGAAAAGGAAAGTGTTGTGAAATGGACCATGCATGCTGGTTAGGTCATCCATAGAATATGGTAATCCAATAATTAATCGGTATGGACGTACGTAGTTAATTCTTACCTTTTAAATCTAACTAATTACACGTCCATGCTTAAAGATATGTTTTCTTAATATATTATAAAATCATATCTAAATCCTCGCAGATCCTAGGCCGCTATCCAAACTTGACAACGTTTACTTATTTCGTTTTACTCAACGTTGTCTTTGTTACAAAAAAACGAGACTGTTATGTGAGGACTTTCCATCAATTGCAGAATTCACAAAAAAACAATCGTTTATAAACCTGTAAGGAAAAGTCAACAGTCGGGCGGGACCGATTATATGATACCCTACACCACTATGACTGCAGAGCAGTTATAGTTAGCTATAGAGTGCATGATATCACTTGAAGAAGGATTATATTAAAACAAGTAAAAAAACATTAAGTGCGGTCGGGCCGAACTTTTAATAACCTTCGCCTTAGTGTAAAGGAAACAATGAGCTAGAACCCATTGTACCCTACAAATACCAATTTTTAGACAAATCCATGAAAAAATGTAACAAAATTTATATGGGGGCTATTCCAAAACATGGATCTATTCATACAATGTCTCGCCACACAAGCTAGAACATATTATAACCTACAAATAACGATTTTTAGACAAATCCGTTAAAAAAATTCCAAAAATCATAAACTATACCAAAACGTGGGCCTATACATACAATGTTTCGTCACCGGAACTAGAACCCATCATGGCCAACAAAATTCCAATTTTTAGACAGATCCGTGAAAAAATGTTGCAAAAACAATCAAAATACCGAATATCGGGAGGTACCTTGTATGGGGGCTTTATCGTGATTTCAACAGACAGACAAATGAATATTTGGGAGTGTTACAAACGGAATGACAAATTTATAACCTCTAAGGTGGATGGTGTAAAAAGATATATCGGAGCCGAGTGGCACAAAATGGATACGTACGTGCCGAAACTCATTCCATTTGGGCTGATATTAGCCATTATTCGCACAATAAACCTGAAATGGACTAAGCATATATATGGGAGCTATATCCAAATCTTGGCCGTATTCGATAAAATTTGGAAAAAATATATCCGAGCTTTATAAGATATCTGGTACCAAATATCATTGTTATCGAATGCTTATTACCAAGTGAGTGACTTTAAACCCCAAACCCCATACAAATCTCCGAATTGTATGTACTTGCTTCTAGTCCGAATTCGGTCGGAAATTCCAAAATTCGGGTCATTTGGACTAATATTGGCACATTTGGTGTATAATTTGCACGAAATCGTTTGAGGATATATATGGGAGCTATATCGAATATATTATATTATATTGTTTCGGAGCTGTATTTGATATCTAGTACCAGAGATTGTGGAATGCATATTAACCGATATTTAACCGATTTGGAATTTAAACTCCAAATCGGTTAAACAGACGAATGGGCGGACGGACGGAAATGCATGAATCGACTCAGAATGTGATTCTAACCTGATAAATAGTACCACAGCACCTTTAAAAGTCTTACCTTTCATTTTTTTTAGAATTTGCTTTTTAAGTTTCGTTTATCCTTACCTGAAAAAAAACAAAAGTTTAAGAAAATTATTTGTACCAAACATGACAACAACAAACAAACAAGTTAAAGTCATGTTAAGTTCTTAAGTTAAGTAATTATAATCAAATATACTTATATCAAACTTTTCTGCGAGAAATAAATTTACCTTCCAAGAACCCAAATTAGGGGTAAATTAAGAGATATAGTTACACGGGAGCTATCCCTAAATTATATAATTCTAGGAATAATAACAATGTGCTGTGCAAAATTATAATGCTCTATCTTTAATAGTGTAGGCTCCATCATGATTTCAGTAGTGGTACTTGACTTATTTCACATACAGTTTTTTGCTGTACATACAGGGTGAGATAAAAAAATTTCAACCGAGTCAAACACCATAATTTAAAAATTTTTTATACATTTTATTGAATGAAAGCAAAAAATGTCGCTAGTAGCATCAAATTTTTGAATAAGTTAAGATTTGTTCGAGTTGGTCACCTTTGGCACAAATTATGGCCTTGAAACGGTCAATGAAACCGTCACACGCTGCCCGAATGTTGCTCTGCGGTATTTTGACCCATTACATTGTGCGCTGGAAATGGTGGCCATTGTGCGCTGGAAATGAAGCGAGGAACCTAATTTTGTAACCATTCTGGGGTGGCACGTGCTGAGTCCTGTTGGAATGTCCAAGGTGTGCGGTCAAAATGTTTGCGTGCCCAACGCTTTAATAAACCCCCAGAATATTTTCGCCATAATATACGGCATTTACTCTGATGCCACGGTCGATTAATACGAGCGGAGAGCGACCATCGGCTGTTAAGGCGGCCCACACTATCATCATGGTCGGCGCTTGAGTTCTGGTGGCCTACCGAAGGTGCACATTTTCAGCTGACCTCTTTGGCAAGTAAACACGATTATTTTGTTTGTTTACAAACTGATGGACAACGAATGTTGCGGTGTAAGTTCTTGCACTTTTTGGAATTTCAATCCGAGCTCATTTTTCAATATTTTCCGAATGAAATATTGCGATATGTTCAGCTCACGAGCCATTTTTCGGCCACTGCGACGCGGGTTTCGATCAAGTCGCTTCTTTACTTTTCGAACCATTTCTGCTGATGTTGCTGTTTTCTTCCGTCCACTTCCTTGGCGTCGGGCTACCAGTATCACGGTAACGAGCGATGGTACGAGACACAAAAGATTTATTTACATTTAAGTGCTGGAGTGCTCTAAAGATAGCCACTTGTGGTTTTCCAGCCATATATAAAGAAATCACACTATCGCGCTTGAATTTCATAACGAATAACTTTTTTTCTGGAAAATTCTCACCAAAATACTTTTGTACGCTTGTAAACAATATAATGAACTGTCACTGGAATAATTTTAACAGCTGTCGGAGGAGTGGCTAAGAAATGACAGCAGTCTGAAGTTTGTTGCAGTTTTTTCATCTCACCCTGCACCATATGTACCATACGTATGGTATATGGTAGCCGCAGTTACTCATTACTTGGTTTCACAAAGTAATTTTGGCTCGTATAATTCTTAGGAATAACTTATTATGTTTTAAGCACACTGGTAATGCAAAAGGTATGTAGTTAAAATTATTGTTGGGATACTTTCAATGCAGAGGATATATTGTTGTCATTACAAGCACTGGAAAACGTGGCACATACGCCTACCAGGTTTTTGCTTGAATTAAAAAAAGGTTGGAAGCTGAAAATATATGCCACCAGTATGTTTTACGTGGACAGAGAGGCTGACGGCCCTGCATAAATCGTCTCTGGGATCTGAGTAACCATCCAAGTAACTATAAATAAGAGTAAAAAACACAGACACATATAGAATTGTTGATTTTCTTTGACATACCTAACGTAGCAGACCAAGATTGCAAAAAATATACAAATTTGAAGAAATCTAATTTTTTGCTTTGACATATTTGCACTCTGCCATTTAGAAAACTAGTAAAGCCGAAATTCCTTCATCTGTTGACATTTGCAGTGCAATAGTGATTTGAAAAAGGTTGGAAGCTGAAAATATAAGCCACCAGTATGTTTTACGTGGACAGAGAGGCTGACGGCCGTGCATAAATTGTCACTGAGATCCTAGTAACCATCCTAGTAACTATAAATCATTTTCAGATATAAGCCATAGGAGTAACATATAGAATTGTTGATTTTCTTTGACATACCTAATATAGCAGACCAAGATTGCAAAAATATACAAATTTGAAGAAATCTAATATTTTGCTTTGATATATTTGCACTCTGCCACATAGAAAACTAGAAAAGCCGAAATTCCTTCGTCTGTTGACTTTTACAGTGCAATATTGACTTAGGACAATGATTTTATTAAACATTTGGCATATGCTATATTTTCAATGAAGGTTGTATGTGGGTTGTGGGTTGTATGTGATATGACAAAAAATACAACGTTAATTTTAAAATTTGGACTTATACCTGCACTTATATCTTTAAATTTATATATTTTTAAATCTGGACGGCATTTTATTTTTAATAATATGCTGACAAAAATTGTTCACCCTCACTGACTTAGTTATATTCTAAAATGCAGCTGCTGCTGGTGTTTATTTTTACATTCGTCGTAGTCGATTTATGGAAATTTCACACCAACAACTTCATTCATCGTCTATGCTGTGCTAAAAGAATCCAATCCAATCCAATTTGAAGCAGCAGAACTTTGAAGTGAGTTAAGTTAACTTTTCGCTGTGTGAATTTGTGCGTAATCACTTAACATTATGCATTTAACACTAATTGGATATTCATGAAACTTTCAAATATTTAATGAAGTCTACTTGAGAATGTTTACACTCTGCACAGAATTTATTCTTCCAATCTGTATTCTTCGCAGAGTGCATTGTTAATGGAAATTACTTTGAACATCGAAAAAGAGGAATTCATCAAACAGCTGCAATTAAATAAATTTAATTATTTTTTTCTCTCTTTTTTTATTTTGCTGTTGAGACGTGCATTTGCGAATGAAGAAGATATTACATTACACTAAAATGGGTTGGTTGATATCGTTTTGAAATGCCAGATCGAATAATGCAGTTATTTCATTCAGTGTTCCTTTTTTTGTGTGTTCTAGTATATAATTATCGTTCTTTTGTTTGCATTTTTGCGCTGTTGTTGTTATTCGTTCTTTGTTACTTCACGTGACTGAAACTGTGCTAAAAAATATTAATTAAAATTAAGTTTTTGACACATTTACTGGCAGTTTTGTGAGAATCTAGAAATTGCACAACCATGTCAGAACACAAGTGAAGAAATATCAGTGTGGAAAATGTAGGTGGATTTGTGAGAACATCGGTAATGTGTCCTAGTTTTGAGAGAGACGCTTGTGTAATTAAGTC